CTTCACCCCCAATCTGGGGCTAAGGGGTCTACTCACTAAGCTGCCGAAGGATCTAGCCGTAGCTTTGGCTTATCCTTCGGCCCCAGGACCCCTTCGGTTCCATACTATAGCCCGTACAGCTCCCGAAGTTGGCCGAGCGGCTCAGTCGAGCCGAAGGTATATGCCTCGGCTCGACATTGTAATGACAGCTGGTCCCAGGCCAATAGAAAACAGTTGGGCGGAGCTAGCTGTCACTGCTAGCTCCGCCCAATCATTTTCTATTTTTTTTCCACTTTTTTTAAACTGTCTTTCTATTCTGCTCGGTACCACAGAGGTACCGAGCAGAATAGCCGAGCCGAATGCCGCTCAGCTATGAGAATAGGCCGAACAGCAGCGAGTTGCCTGCCGGAAGTTCGGCTCAGCCAATCCAGGTGTTGGATCAGCTGAGTGGAACTCCTTCTGCACTTCAGGTCGGCCGACCCGAACCCATGTTCGGCTCACTTCACTTCGGGTCGGTTATTCACACGGCCGCCTTCGGCAGCTTTGTGAAAAGACCCCTATATGTTTCCATGGAAAGGGTTCCTTTGTAGGAATATGCATTATGTATTATATATAGGGCTGCGGAAATTAACAATTAATTTCTCGATTATTCGTCAATCTTTTTGATCGATTACATTTTTTTTGATCGCTAATGAAAATACTCACCTCTCCGCCGGCTTCCGGGTGTCCCGTCAGAGATCCGGTGATGTCACAGACATCGAAGTCACCGGAGTCCTGTGATGTCGATGTCAGTGATGTCACCGGACTCCTCCCCCCTTCCCTTCATTAGCCGACGGAGCCACTTGGGCTCCAAGTTTATGGGGCTCCAAGTCTCTGATTGGCCCTGCAGGTCTGGAGCAAATGCCGCATTAATTAATATGAATTTGCCTAAATACCTGGAAATGTCGCAATGTATATCAGTGTTATATCTTCAGGTATTTACAAGCACAGCAGATGTTATATTCTATGTCGCTTCCTGAACGTTCTTGGGCCGGTGAGTTTTCCCAAGAAACTTTCTGCACGAGCGCCAGCCAAGGCATTGGCCTATACACATACAGCACTGCAATGAAGTAATAAAATGAGCTAGGATCACCCTAATCCAGCATGTTATTATTCTGAGTTGCCCCACTCAAGCGGCGGCCATATTGAGTGGGGCACGTGAGATTAATAACGTCCTGGATTAGTGTGATCCTAGTCCATTTTATTACTTCATTGCTGTACTGTATGTGTATAGGCCAATGTAGTTGGATCTGTATGTGCGTTATAATTAATCGAAATTAATCGATGGATTAACCGAACACGAAAATTTGAATCAGTAACAGCCCTAATTATATACATATAATTATGAACTTGAGATAGGAAGATTTAACTTTTTCACAGCGCTACAGATGTGCATGGTACCTTGCCACTTTATATCCGGAACAGACATTTTGTTTGTTTTTCTAGTTGCTTTTTAAATGTCTAATATAAAGCTGCCATATACTGTAGATTTACTAATCATGTTTCCTTTGATGCATACAGACTCCCATGAAGCTGTTCTAAGATTCAACAAGGCTCCTACTAAAGGATTTGAGATTGATGTTGGATCAAAAACTACAATTCGTCTCATGAATTCACAGGTGAATAGAAGAGCAACCCTTTATGAATATTTGAACATTTGTAAACATTAATAAAATGATGTACATATTTGTTATATATACTGTATATATACACAGCACTGTACATTACATTTATCAGGGCTAGCCACAAAAGGGTGAGGAGTTTGAAGAAGGCAGGAGATGTTAAAAATCTAGGAAAGCATAGATAAATTTGAGAATTTTTCCAGTTCAGCTATGTTGTCCTAGATTGTTCACTTTTCCTGCCTTCTCCAAACTCTTCACCCTTTTGTGAACAGCTCTGTATGTTTTAAACATAGATACTAACACAATGATAGTGTTCTTACCCAGTTATTTTTTTTTTAATAGCCAGATTTATTTGGTGCACAACATTAGGCCTCATGCATATGTGGGACCATACACATACAATTCAAGTGTATTTCCTTGCCTGGGAATATCTGTATGTGTCTGTACATTGGATATATAGGTACATTTGTAAGGGCCGATTTACACCATTTGTGGTGTGTTCCAGCACACCAGCTCCTGGAACGCACAGCAATCTCTCACAAAACTTCCCCCTTCGTCCTGGGGCGGGAGGGGGCATGTCAGTGCATTTAAGTCAATGGCACCGCAGCCATGCCCCACCACGCGTCTGCCATTGACTTAATTGCACCGTCACGCCCCCTCCCGTCCCAGAACAAAGGGGGAAGTTTTGTGAACGATTGCTGTGCGTTCCAGCAGCTGCCGCTCTGGAACGCATCACAATTGGTGTGAATGGGCACTAAACTTGTGCATGCGTACAAACTATTGCCCCAAACTCAGACAGTGTGCGTTCATGGAATACGTTCGTAAAAACGTTTATTCAGGGATCCAATCTCATACCCACATTGTTTGGATCCCATAACCCCAAGTTATATGGATTCCTTGATTAAGAACCCCTGAGCTCCTGAGTATGGTGCATGAATTATTTTCTTAGCTTTTTTCAGCATAACATCAATTTGTGCGTTGCTTCTTTTTCTGCACTCTGATTTGACACATATTATGTATGACATTTCAAAAATGTAAATTTTATTATCAATGTGAACCTGTGATTGCCTATACTAGGCAAAGTAACAGGTAAGATTAGGGACCATAATTAGCCAATATTTACCATCCCTGTGCTCCCTCACTTCTAGACCATCCAAGAAATACCCAGTACCTTTGGTTTGAGGGAACACAGGACACTTCCCATAGCTATCCAAAATGCAGATGAGTGGCCAATAACTAAAAGCAAATGCTATCATGGATGGTGAGCAGAGCTGACCAAGTGCCAAGCCTGTGATGTGCAAATTCAAATGTATGCAGGAACCTTAGGTGGTCTGGTGGGTGGTAATAGAGGAGAGCAGGAAAAGTAAGTACAGCTTGTGTAGGGTCCCTCTCGAAAGTATAAACCTGTTATTTTGCCCAGTATGGAATAAGACTTGTAAAGCTTCACTTTAATTTTGGTGACTCACATTGGTTTTGATTAAAGCTAAACTCTGGCTAACGACGACATCCCCATTTGAAATGTCTAGACATGATCCAGCCATTCTATGGAAATGTTGAGTCAGTTTTTTGATCCAAGCACCCTCGCCAAGCAGCATAGTGGAGGGTAACACTCTTTATCTGTTACATTTACGGAATAAAGTGGTGTACATTGCTTGCCCCAACCTGCTGATTGGACAACAAAAGAGCACAAGCACACTTATGAGATAATGTCTGCGCTCTCTCCTGTATCAATGCTTCTGGTGTTAGACTGACAACCTCGTGCAGTGTAAAGGGGCCTTTTGGCAGACACTTCTGCTCATTCCTCTTTGTGTAAGTGCTGTTATGCAGGGGAATAGAGGAAGTTGAAATTAAAGGAGAACTATGAGGTGAGTGCTTTTCACTCATCCTCATAGTTCTAGCCGACCTGTGACAATGAAACTGTCACAGGTCGGCTCAGTAGATCGGGAAGTGAGCGAACACATAGCATGTGCCCCCCGCTCCAATCCTCCAGCGCTGACTGGCGGAACGGACGGGGGAGGGGGTGGGTACAGCTGGCTCTGCCTCTACATAGGCAGAGCCAGCTGTCACTCACGCAGCTGGGCGAATCCAGACATAATTGTCGGGATCCGTTTCAGCTGCGGTGTCTCAGTATACCGCGAGCTGTAGCTCGCGGTATACTGAGCTCAGGGTGACGGGAGGATGCTAGTTTGTGTCCTCCTGTTACCCTAAGGGGAACTATGGGGAAAAGCTCTAACCCATAGTTCTACTTTAAGGCAAACTTAGTTATTGTTCAGTTGTTCCGTTTTTATGATTGCTAAATTTGAACATACCTTTTAAAATACATAACTTCATTAACCTTTTTTAAAAAAATATTGACCTGAAGTTCAGTGTTATACCTAACTTGATTAATTTTTAAATTAGAAACCCCCTTTAATGTGCTAATTTATTAGAAATTAAATCTTGTTTAGTTGCGCATGGATATGCAAACAAATTTACTTAAATTCAAACATTCGAATGCTTCCGCAATTCTGAATTTGAACGCATCTGAATGTTCCTGTAACAGTAGTTCGGATCAGTCCGAATTTCATTCAAAACGAAACTAAATTGGATATGTGACTGTTCTCTGGCCAATCATGACTTTTGTGGCTGCTGGGGGTTGCATTACAGGCACGGTCATGAAACTTCCTATTGTTGATTGTTCGGAAATGAAAATTCGAACGGATACGGAATCCGAATAATTAACCAAATTGAATATTGGATTCTAAATCTGAAAAATGAAAGAAATGAAATCTGAATTATTCATCCAAAACGAAACATTTTTATGGGGTTACATGTCTACTAATTAAACTCAAATTAAAATATGTCTTGTTGGATAGAACGAAGTACAACCAAAAGGACAACTGCTGTAATAGTGATATGAATATGTTGTAATAAATCCCACTTTACTAACTTTTCATCCTTTTTGCAGATTGTTGCACTTCCTAGTTATACATTTTTGGATGATCCTATTTATAAAAGTGGGATATTGATTATGTGGGATCCAGCAGCATATGAACAAAATGTATATCAGGTGAGAAAATGTTGGGCTTTAAATCATGCAGGTTTTAAAAATTAGAGAGCTGGAGTTTTTATACAGATATATACATGGATATATGTAGAGATCATGCTATCTTCCCTTATTTAGGGGTTTCTTAGAAGGATATCTACTTGCATTCATTTACACCAATGGCACTGATATGCAGTAGTACCTCGGTTCACAAACTTAATTTGTTCCACAATTCCGGTCATGAACCAAATTGGTCGCAAACCGAATCAAATTTCCCCATGAGGTTCATTGTAAATAAGGTTAATCCGTTCTGACCCCTACGAACGTGGTCGCGAAACGATTTTGGTTGCGAACAGAATAAAATTTTCCCATAAGGTTCAATGTAAATAAGGTTAATCCGTTCTGAACATTCTATTCACCTTCATTACTGCTCTGCACTTTCTTTGGAGCCATGCTGGATTGAATAATACTGTACAGTACTGTATGCGCTAAAAGGCACACAAAAAAGCTTCACAGCATGTGTGCACATGTCTGTCTGCGACCGCAATTTCGAGAAGAGGAAGCCATGACCATGTGTCAGAGCAGAGATGACCATGTGTTCGTCACCCGATGTGGAGTTCGCGAACTGAAGCAAAATTTTGCCGAACTTTCTGTTCACAAACCGAATTGTTCGCGAACAGAAGCATTTGTGAACTGAGGTATTACTGTATTAATGGACACCACTTAATGGTATGCATCCAGAAATCAGATTCAATCCCATCCCGAATGTTTACTGTTCTTTTACATACAGTTGAAATTTGTAATGGGCTGTATGATGAATGATATCATATACAAGCAGGTTGCCACGTGGAAGACAAACATGAAGAAATAACCAAAATCATGAGATAGAAGTTTTGAAGTAAGACACCTGAAAAAGGAATGAGGAGTTTCTGTTTATTTCTGCTGCATTTGTTAAACATACCATGAAAATTGACCAATAGTTTTCTATTGTCCGGCGGCTCTGCTGCCGTAAAAAAAAAAGCAAAAAAAAGAAACTCTCCTGGGCGCTCTGGGAGCCTCCCGCTCCCCGCCGCCCAGGAGAGAAACACTGCTTTTTCTTTTTTTTTCTTTATTCTGACACGGAGCCGTGTCAGAATAGAAAAAAAATATATATATACTTATGTTTGCCCATTGGAATGCATTGCTAGATTCCTATTGGCTATTTCAATTTGCAATAGCCAATAGTAAACTAGCATTGTACCCGCCCTCTGAGTTCGGCTCGACTGAGCCGCTCGGCCACGTTCGGGAGCTGTACGGGCTATAGTGAATAGCCCGTACAGCAGCCCTTCGGTTCTACTGAACCGAAGGGGTCCTGGGGCTGAAGCTAGCCGAAGGATCGGCCGAAGCTACGGCTAGATCCTTCGGCAGCTTCGTGAATAGACCCCTATATTTTGGTTTCTGTTAATGTACTTCCCTGTCTTATTCTTTGTCTCTATTGTTTCTTTACTCAGTGGTATAAGAAGCCGGAATTTAAATTTTTTGAACGCTACAGTAAATATCGCAAGCAAAACCCTAATCAGCCATTTTACATACTGAATCCAAAAAACAGCTGGCAGCTGTGGAATATAATACAGGAGAATTCACCAGAAAATATCCAACCAAATCCACCATCTTCAGGATCACTTGGTAAGTACCTTGAATGGGCATGAGGCTATTGTCTGGCTTCCACCCTGACTTAACTGGTTTGCAGCATTCTGGCTTGGCTGCCATTTATCCACCTGTGATTCCTCCTTTGCCTGAGCAGACTCTGGAACGTTGCTCACTACTCCCAGGCTCCCTCTTATGGCCAAACAGGAGAGCATCATCTGAGAGAGCCAGATGGGAGTTTCCTGTCTTTGAGTGATGATGTCACCCCACTCACTATATAAACCACTCAGTCCAGTCTGACCTTGCCCTTGTGTGGTCTTATCTGCTAGTGCATTCCTGCTGCTCTGAGTGTTCTGATTCTGTGTATGACCTGATCCTATCTGATGTTCTCCTCTGGTTCCTGCGCCTGGCTTGTTCCTGACAATGCTGATCTCCGTGTTCTGACCTGACTTGTACGACTACCCACTCCGGCTCCTGACCTTGACTTGTTCCTCTTTATGATTTTTGCTTGCTCCTGTGGACTCTTTTCTTGATAAAATATTTTTAACTAGCACCTTATGCGTGTCTGGTTTTCAATGTGTTCTGACAGCTATTCACTGAAGTAAACAATATACTGTTGTAAAAAATATACAATCCCATTAGCCTTTCTACTGTTTTCCTGTTACCATAGCAGTGATAGTAGTTTAGGTTGAGAGATAACTAATTGTTCTAGATTCAACTGTGAATTATATATTGGATCTGAGAACATCACTATGTACCAAATTCTCAAACAACCTGCCATGGCAAACTACATATACAAAGAACTATTACTTAATTATTAATGGGAGGTGGAACTTTATTGGTTCTGGAGGCCGGGCTGACCATCACCCTTTTAGAATACAGTGGAACATTTATGTGGGTAAAAATGAAGACTGTGCATATCATCACACTCCTTTGTTACAACAAAGTATTAGCTGCAGGGTTACAGTCATTTGCTATATATTTTGCTATCAGTCATGGGTTACTAGCATCAGTTCCTGGTTGAACAGTATCATAACTTTGTGTACCATCAAAACTCAGAAATGAAATAAGTGTTCCCTTCTGTAACAACAAAAAAGTTATGGTATTGTCCAGCCATGTTAGCTTTGGATGGAACCCCTGTCAAGATTTATTTTGCTGTCTGTGACCTCATTGGGATGATTACCTTTGCTCTTGTAAACATTTTGATCAGTTTAAAAACTGAGGGGAAAGTGAAATTTGAGAGCTGTCACTCAAACAGGAAATCTACAAATGATTATGGTATGTGAATGTGTTTGCTCAATGACCCCCTCCCCAGCAGCATATATGCACCTCTAAGTTGCTCCCCTGCCATTCTGTTCATCCATTAATTTCAGGGATTTCCCCAACACTTCCAGGTATTGCAGAGCATGCGACTCACTTCTTTTCCTTTCAAGCCAGGCCTGGAACAGCAGACGGAGGCATCTGTGTACAGCCTGGATGACTGGGTTTGGAAAGGTGAAAGGGGGCTATGAGGGTTAATTTGTTTTATAAATAAAGGAGGTGAAGGAGGGACACTTACCTGATTGGTCTGGGTGCTAAGAGGAGGAGTGATAGGTGGATCCCTGAGGAAAGAAGGTTCCAGATCCAGATGGAGTCAGCAGCATTGAAGCAGCGACCCACTCTCCCTCCCTCTTAATCTGTTGACTGTACTTATTGTATTATCCTCTTTAATACGTTGACTATCCTTTTTTGTATTTTGGTATGTTTTCTTCATGTGTTTTACTTTTGTCACTGCAGCCAGGCCGGGTATTAGGGTCCTTAAAGAGCAACATATGTGGTTGACGTTTGATTGAGGGTGTGTAGATGTCCCAGATAGGGCATCCCTGTAGTAGCGGGTCATTTGGTATCTGCAGTTATAGTGCAATGTTCCTGAGGCAGTGTGGGGCGGCTAGGGGCCTAGGATGCAGATACTGCTTGGTTTTTCGTGGGATGACCTTCAAGGACCTTAATCCTGGTTTTGATTATTTTGTTAAGGTTGCTTTCTGGCTTTGTATTTAATGCAATAGCTGCTGTGGCCACAAAATCCAATACTGGTGTTGTGTCAGTGAATTAAAAAGGGGTTGGAGTTGGGGGGGTTGGTTTGTTTGGCTAGTTTACCCCTGGGGGACATATACAATACCCTTGTCATGTGACAGAGTTTGTGTTTGGCAATTGGTCCAGCACTGTCACATGGGAGCAGGGAGACCATTCTCAGCCCTGTGTAAGCTTTGACTAGAGTGATGCAGAGGTTACACAGGGATTCCATTCCTTGATTTTGGAGGCTAAGTGAGCAGCAAGGAACTGAAGCAAAGCTTATTATTTTCTGCTAAAGGAACATCTTTGATTTGCATTCATTTATAGTCAGCCAAATTTTTTTTAACCAATTTAAGAAAGTAAAAGGAAGACTCCAGTTCATTGTATGCTTCTGACTAATACTATTGGGAGAAATGGACTGGTACAGCACATTTGTATAATTTTTATGGTGAGCTATTAGTAATGGCTCTGACTCTGTCTCTCTCCTTAGGAATATTGCTGATGATGAATCTCTGTGATGAAGTCAATGTGTATGAGTTTTTGCCATCCACTCGCCAAAGTGACCTGTGCTACTATTATGATCGGTACAATGACCGTGCTTGTACAGTTGGGGGATACCACCCTTTAATGTACGAGAAGAATTTAGTGATGAAGCTTAACCGTGGAGATATGGACACCATTCACAAGTATGGAAAGGTGACATTACCTGGTTTTAGGAACTTGAAGTGCTAACCCCTTTATAAGGATTGCAGAAGTGGAAAAAAAACCTCAGAGACAATTAAAGTATGCAAAGTTCTCCTCCTCCAGGACTATTTTTTGACATAGAAAAGATAACGGAATGCACAGTGCTGTTTGAGGTGAAAGAAATTGAAACCTTGCCATGCCCAAAGATAAATTGATGTATATGTTATGTATTTCCAGTACAGTTCTGTACTGTTCTGTACTGTACTATGCCTGGAGAGCAATTTGGGAAACTTTCAGCTTGTTGAGTCTAATTTTTAGTGTTGCATGGATTCAATTGTATTCTGGTAACCCAGTGCTTCTGGAATTCCATGCTGCTAACAATGCAAAATTGTCACGGCAAGGCAGATCCACTTATCTTAAAATATACACAAGGCATACAGGTAAAAGGTAAATTATAACAGTTTTGGTCTTTTCTCAGGTTTACAGGTTTTTAAACCACTGTTTTATATCTTTTTTGAATAGTTATATTGAATATTTATTTAACGAATAAGTGGATTCCCACTCAACCTAACCACTGAACTATCACTTTCTCAAAGAATTCATCCCCACACAGCCGCTGTCACAGCAGCATGGCCAAGTGGTGAGGAGAGAGAGAGCCGCTCAGCCAGGATCTGACAGCCAGCGGCTCTCTCTCTCCTCACTGCTCGGCCATGCTGCTGTGACAGAGGCTCCCTCCTCCAAACCCCCGCGGGCTTCAGCGCTTCTTTCACTTCTCCTCGGATCCCCACTGGATACAGGCGGGGGAGAGCAGCGGGGATCCAGAGGAAAAGCTGCAGGCTGAGCTCTGTGCGTGGCCGAGCGGCAGAGGATCAGTACATATCAGTGATATGTTCCTATCCTCTGTGCAGAGCAAACAGTGGAGCGATCAGCTGATCACTCCAGTGAAAATAACTGGGGACACATAGTACACTGTGTCCCCAGTTATGAATGAACAAGAAGTGCTCTACATCACTTCCTGTTCATTCATGACTTTCTCAATGGGGAATAGCACTCTGTACAGAGGATTTTTCCCATTCAGAAACTGGATGATAGTAAATATTTTCTCAATGAATGGGAAGCCTCTGTACTTTCCTTTCATTTAGAACAGATGCTGCATGCAGAAAAAGTGATTGAGGACTTTATGTCCTCAATTTCTTTTTCTATTTTAAAAGGAAATATCAGGGTGCTGTTTAGACCCCTAATATTTCCCTGAAGCCACATCCACAGCCCGTTTCCAGATATTTATTTGTATATAACATTGTAAATAGTGACAGAGAGGAAGTGCAAAAATGTGTAATTCATGTTGACATAATGTAAATTGTGTAGCAGGGAATATTTACAGGTTACTTTGTAGATACTGTACATGGAAAAGTTTTGTATATACATTGTTCCTACTCCCCAACTCACCCCCTCGGTGTCCTTGCGTGTCACTAATCTAATAACTAACATATCCGTCTGGTTGTCACAACACTTCTTAAAATGCAACCTTTCAAAAACTGAGCTCATGATATTTCCTCCTGCCCGCGCACGCTCCCACCACTTTTCCCTTGAGATTGATAACACAACTATCCAACCTTCCCCCCATGCCAAAGTGCTAGGTGTCATGCTTGATTCGGACCTCACCTTTCTTCGCCACATCAAATCACTATCCAAATCCTGCTGCCTTCACCTTCACAACACCTCCAAAATACGCCCCTTCCTCACCAATGAAACCGCAAAATTACTCATCCACTCACTTGTTATATCTCGTCTTGACTATTGCAACTCCCTCCTCATTGGCCTACCTCTACACAGGCTAGCCCCCTTCAGTCTATCGTGATTGCTGCTGCTAGACTCATCCACCTAACCAACTGCTCAGTGTCTGCAACCCCCTATGCCGATCCCGGCACTGGCTTCCAATAGCCCAAAGGATAAAATTCAAAATATTGACAATGACTTACAAAGCCATCCACAACTCTGTCCCCAGCTATATCTCAAACCGTGTCTCAATATATCACACTAACCGTACACTCCGCTCTTCCAAAGACACATATCATATATTACAGTGAATGTGATTGGTTCCCGCAGTTGGAAGTTAATGGGAACTGCCAATTTGCATTACCAGTGAATCTGATTTGCTAGGACTATTGGTAAAATGTTGATGATGATGTGACATTACAGCCATGACAAGAAAATACTGTACTTCTTTATTAGGCCAATTATATCAGTGCTGGTTCTTGCTAGTTCCATAACCCCCTTCATCAATAAAAACAGGATCCGGATTGAATCCCTCCAGCAGGTCACTTGAGGGCAAAAGTTCACATGCTTACTTGCAAAACAGATGTCTTTTTAGGGGACTGTTGCAAAGTCTTCTTCATTTAATACATTAATATTACACATTAAATGAACAATCCGCAGGCGGAGTGGTGAGACTGCTCAGCAGATTTGCATTATTTGCTTATCTGTAATGTTAAATGTTTATTATGAGTTCAGCTGTACTTGTAGTTTTAGAAAAAGTAAGAGACCACTATGAACTCTCTATACATCTGCTAGCTAAAGACCTCTGCTGTACAGTATATTGGAAATGTGCACATAAATGATCAATATTTTTCTGATGGATTATACTGTGATAATCTTTAGTTACATAAATACAGAGTTATGAAAAGAGGGTTGCTTGCTTTTAAATTCAATGAGGTTTGCACTTTAAATACACGGTACAATTTTAATGTGAATACAGGTGTTTGTTTTGGATGAAGGTGTGCCGACATATGTGTGACATATTTCTTACTTGGATTGAATGCGACACCAATCGTCCATCACTGCAGCACAAGGATAAAGGGGTGTATTGGTTAGGTGTGTGGTGGGGATGTCTGTAGAGTAATAAAGACCTTACAAGGGATTTGACCCTTCCTTACTCTATTCAAAAATAAAATATGCTGTATGAGTTACTGAGTTTGGGTTACTGCCTTTTGTACATTTCTCTTTCACTCATTTATTGAGAATAAAGTCCCTTGTGGCATGCCTGTTTTAATGTTGGCCCTTTAGTTCACGTTCTTGCTGCTGAAGCTATTTCTGGTATGGTCAATCAGCCTGTGTTCTGAGAACTGATACTTAGTAAATATACAATAACACAAAAGCAAAAAAATTATTTGTTCTCACTTCCCTATAAGTTTTCAGTTTTGAACATTTGTGAACAGTGTGACTAGTTGAGAGAACCTCATCACATGAGACGTTCCGGGCTGATTAACTCTAAGTAAAACTGAACAGTGTGAACTCTAAGCCCTATCCAAGGACATTTCAAAGTCCTTCCAATTTATCTGTGTGGAAACATTCAGTGAAAACCACAGCAGAACCAGGAAAGAAAAGCCCATTCCTGGGATACATACTGTTATAAAGACCTGGCATGGGATTGAATCCTTCTCACTCTGTCCAAAAATAAGAGAAGTTTGGGGTAGAATTCTCCCTCAATATATCTTTTGATGATGAATGTAAAAGTGTATTACACTCTGTATCATCATGGGACAAGGAAAATGACTGGTAATCTGTGCAAATATAGGGATGTATCCCCTGCACTGCTTACACCACTCATACCCAAATGACCATGGTGCTCATAGTGATTGTCACGGATGGCGCAGTGCACGTCAAGTTAGTAGAAAGTGAAGATCACCAGCACTCGAGTAGTATCATTCAATCCTTGTGCTCATTTATTGAAGCAAAACGTCACATATATCATATAGCCAAAGTTTCGGGGGCCACACAGGGTCCTTTCATCAGGGCAGGTCATTATACTGCGGGGCCCTGAAACATTGGCTATATGATGTACTGTATTATGCTTCAATAAATGAGCATAAGGATTTAATGATACTACTAGTGTAGTGCTGGTGATCTTCACTTTCTACGAACTTGGTAATCCGTGAAAGGTCATCTCTTGCAAGGATGAATATTTCAGTTTTGGGTTATTTAAATCCCACACTGCTTTCTCTTTTAGATGTAAATAGCAATGTTTTGTGTCTTTGCCTGATGCAAAAAAGCCACAAGTTCTCAAAACACTCAAAGCAACTTCCCATTCCCCAGAAAAACATATACAGGCTAAAATGACTGCTGCACATATCATATATCTAAAGTTGTCAACAAAGTTCTATTTTTGGTATTTCTCAACATCACAGTTGTATTCTCTGTACTTCTGGGTAAATGGTAAAAAGTCACTCACTCCTCTCTCATCTATGGGACAGGACTGGTGCTTGGCAATTGGCTGTCCAGGCACCCAGTGCCTTTACATGTGGGTAGGGAGAGAGCCCTCAGCCTTCTGTAAATTCTGACTAGGATTAACTCAGGTGTTCCATAGGACAACTTCTCCTCACTTTTGGTAGCAAATGTAGCGAAAAAGAGAATACGCTTCTGTGGGGACCAGCTTTAAAGTTGCAAGGCATTCTAAAGTTGCCTCTCAAGCACTGTTACCACCCATAATAATATACTCAGAGGTCACTATACAATAAGTGCAAACTTAGCCTGATTAATTAAACCCAATGTAATAGTCTTCCATTGCAGCCTGAATTGTAAGTTGTTTCCGTTCATTATGGAGGATTCATAAGGTAACATGAAACCATCATTTAAACTAGAAAGAGCTGGGTGGAGCTGACTTTTATGGTTTGTCAACGGAAATTAAGAGATATAAGAGGCCAACAAATAACCAAGCTCATAGTTTATATGGGTTATTAGTATTACACTTTATAAATTTGTATTTTACTTATTAAAGGAGAACTATGGGGTTAAGGCTTTTCCCCATAGTTTTACTTAGGGTAACGGGAGGACACAAACTAGCGTCCTCCCGTCACCCTAAGCTCAGTATACCGCGAGCTACAGCTCGTGGTATACTGAGTAGCCGCAGCTGAAGCGGATCCCGACAATTATGTCTGGATCCGCCCAGCTGCGTGAGTGACAGCTGGCTCTGCCTATCTAGAGGCAGAGCCAGCGTTACCGGCCCCCTCCCCCGTCCGATCCGCCAGTCAGCACTGGCGGATTGGAGAGGG